CTGCTTTGTGTATTAAAGCAATGTTCAAAGTGTAGACAGATCGGGGTTGTTGCTGCTGCTGCCCCCTGGTGTTGGAGCACTGATTATATCTCCTATATTCAATTTTATTCAAAGGGAGGTTGATTGATGATTTTTGAACACTATAGGCATTGCTCTGCAGCTAAAACAGCCGACACTCTTCAAGTTTTAGGCTTCCAACACAATGTTGTGGAATTTGCCCCAATTCAGACACAAGAGCAGTGATCAGTGAGGTCCAATTCGGATGTTGGAGATACGGCTAACTGTCTTTGAGTTCATCCCAAAGGAATTTGAATGTGTTGAGGTTTGGACACACTCTAAACTTGTGAAACCATTTCTCCTTGGACCTCGCTTAGGACCGTGAAACGTGGATGCCTACAAGGAGAGAGACAGTCATAAAACATGCACCCTGCAACCATTTGTAAATGGCAATATTGGATGGAGATCTGGAAATAGTTTGAATGTTCTTCAGGTTTATCAAAAATGAAAGCAAAACATATTATTCACAGCAAAATGAAGTCCAAACCCTTCGTTGAAAATCTTTATTCAAAAATGGTGTAACCAGGAGGACAGTTTGTATTTGGTGAACTTTGCAATAAGCCACAAGTTGAGTTACAAAGTGCTCCATCGACATCTGTACAGTGAACATGGATTTTTAATATAGGACAGATAAAAGACAACTATGAAAAGTGTAAACTGTATCCTCTCTGAAAATAAAATATCCAAATAAAATAACCACTTCAATGAAAATGAATACAGGCATGTCTCCAAAGCAGATGAGTTATCAACTTGCAGGCCAACAAACTGGATCTTTCATCATGAAGAGAAGGCTTTTTTCTTTAGTATGGCTCAATGAGGGTATTGAACCAGCAACAACTATATTATCCATGTCTTTGGCCCCTGTGTCTAAAACATATTCACAATGCTGCGGTTCTTTCACCCGCATCCTGTAGAAGAGTAGAGTTGTCATTGTGCTATGGCTTGGATTCAGTCATAATTACATTGTCAGATTTAGCCAATAAGCTTATTTAAGATCAAACTAAAAGCTTCTTACCAAAAGTACATCCTTGTGTTTCACAAAACCTTTGAAATTATAATACAACCTCAAGAATCAATGTACCACTTTTATATATTAAAAAGGTTCTAGACAGCCCAATTTCCTTAAAGTGAAAGAACCATCCGTGCAATAATAATCAGAACATGAAATGGAAAGCAAAGTGAATGAAATAGCTTCTGTGGGAGATCTCTGTGGAGCTAAGTGAGCCATTCCCGCTCTTTGATCTTTTCTGTTACAATCAGCCAAAACACAAAACAGTGATCATGAGTATCTGTCGTAAAGGCGGATTTGTGCTAATGAAAAGAGAGGCAATCGTATATAGAGAGCAGAGCATTTAACAAAGTGAAAACCCTGACAGTCACTGCCTTTTTCATTTCATAGTAAAGCAGCTTTGTATCTGATCCTTTCTGTGTTCTGACTCCACAGATTCCAGATCCCTCGTGGATTCAGGATATACAACAACTCTCAGGTTTAAGAATCTTTCTTCATTTTCATAAAAACATTAAAATAACAAATTCAGATCAAGCAAAAAAACGGAGCTGTGGTTGTCCAAAAACATTCAGTGAGCCACACTTTTACACTGGGTTCCTTCATTACCATCAAACACACACTGTGGTTCATCTTGAGTTGATCTCACATATACAAAATACACTACGAGAACATGTGTAGTAATCCTACACTGTAAATAGAGCCCATATTATGTTCTCCTGTTTGAGTAAGGTTTGATAGAAACTAGTGTCAAGCTGTTTTAGGGAATTCCTAAGCCTTTACAAATAATTGTTGACTACATATTTTGTTTTGTTTTTGAAGATGAATATCTTCAGTAGGAACAAAGGGTCTTGGGGTACATTCCCTCAAACGGGTTGAAGAAGTCAGAGTATTAAGAGTCTGACCAACATCATTTTTTCTTTGTGGGCAATAAGAAACATTGGAATACAGCCATAATAAGTAAAAACGGCTTCTGGCAGATTATCTTTTTGTAAAATGCTATTGAGAATTCTACACTCTCACCAAATTGAAATTGGTTTAAGAGGTATGGCTGATTTCCAAAGAGTGTTTGAGTTTGGCTTGTTCACCCACGTGTGTGACTTTAGTATTTACTCGCAACGCCTCCAGCCACTTTTAGATTTTCACAAACCATTTACACTACATTAGATGATACCAGGGCCTCATGACAGTTACAGGGCCTAATGACAGTTACAGGGCCTAATCATGACAGTTACAGGGCCTCATGACAGTTACAGGGCCTAATCATGACAGTTACAGGGCCTAGTCATGACAGTTACAGGGCCTCATGACAGTTACAGGGCCTCATGACAGTTACAGGGCCTCATGACAGTTACAGGGCCTCATGACAGTTACAGGGCCTAATCATGACAGTTACAGGGCCTCATGACAGTTACAGGGCCTAATCATGACAGTTACAGGGCCTCATGACAGTTACAGGGCCTAATCATGACAGTTACAGGGCCTCATGACAGTTACAGGGCCTCATGACAGTTACAGGGCCTCATGACAGTTACAGGGCCTAATCATGACAGTTACAGGGCCTAATGACAGTTACAGGGCCTAATCATGACAGTTACAGGGCCTCATGACAGGGCCTCATGACAGTTACAGGGCCTAATCATGACAGTTACAGGGCCTCATGACAGTTACAGGGCCTCATGACAGTTACAGGGCCTAATCATGACAGTTACAGGGCCTCATGACAGTTACAGGGCCTAATCATGACAGTTACAGGGCCTCATGACAGTTACAGGGCCTCATCATGACAGTTACAGGGCCTCATGACAGTTACAGGGCCTCATGACAGTTACAGGGCCTAATCATGACAGTTACAGGGCCTCATGACAGTTACAGGGCCTCATCATGACAGTTACAGGGCCTCATGACAGTTACAGGGCCTCATCATGACAGTTACAGGGCCTCATGACAGTTACAGGGCCTAATCATGACAGTTACAGGGCCTCATGACAGTTACAGGGCCTAATCATGACAGTTACAGGGCCTCATGACAGTTACAGGGCCTAATCATGACAGTTACAGGGCCTCATGACAGTTACAGGGCCTCATCATGACAGTTACAGGGCCTCATGACAGTTACAGGGCCTCATGACAGTTACAGGGCCTCATGACAGTTACAGGGCCTCATGACAGTTACAGGGCCTCATGACAGTTACAGGGCCTCATGACAGTTACAGGGCCTCATGACAGTTACAGGGCCTAATCATGACAGTTACAGGGCCTAATCATGACAGTTACAGGGCCTCATGACAGTTACAGGGCCTAATCATGACAGTTACAGGGCCTAATCATGACAGTTACAGGGCCTCATGACAGTTACAGGGCCTCATCATGACAGTTACAGGGCCTCATGACAGTTACAGGGCCTAATCATGACCATTACAGGGCCTAATCATGACCGTTACAGGGCCTCATGACAGTTACAGGGCCTCATCATGACAGTTGCAGGGCCTCATCATGACAGTTGCAGGGCCTCATCATGACCGTTGCAGGGCCTCATCATGACCGTTGCAGGGCCTCATCATGACCGTTGCAGGGCCTCATCATGACCGTTGCAGGGCCTCATCATGACCGTTGCAGGGCCTCATCATGACCGTTGCAGGGCCTAATCATGACCGTTGCAGGGCCTAATCATGACCGTTGCAGGGCCTAATCATGACCGTTGCAGGGCCTCATGACCGTTGCAGGGCCTCATGACCGTTGCAGGGCCTCATGACCGTTGCAGGGCCTCATGACCGTTGCAGGGCCTCATGACAGTTACAGGGCCTCATGACAGTTGCAGGGCCTCATGACCGTTGCAGGGCCTCATGACCGTTGCAGGGCCTCATGACCGTTGCAGGGCCTCATGACAGTTGCAGGGCCTCATGACAGTTGCAGGGCCTCATGACAGGGCCTCATGACCGTTACAGGGCCTCATGACCGTTACAGGGCCTCATGACAGTTACAGGGCCTCATCATGACAGTTCTTCTCACATCAAGTAAGATTTTTAAAAGTATACACATTTCCAAAATAGTATTTACCCTTTTCCCTGGCGAGCAACAAAGAAGAAAAACAAATACTTCAAAGATCATAAATGTTAAAATGGCTTTGACACATATAACTAACCCTCATTAAACAAAAAGTGCAGAAAGAAAAAACAACTTACAGATTGTTTTGACATGACATAAAATGACAAGGTTGGATTCAGTTCACACGTTAGAAACAACAGAAAGTATTTACAGCCATAATGTTTAGTCGACCACCCATCCAAATTAAAAACACAAACCAGGAGCACCCATGGCACTTCACAAATTCACTCCAATGATACAGCAGCAAGAAAAAGACACACCACTGTAGCACAATACACATTGAAATAGGCACAGTAGAGCGTTGGCAAATGTAGTGCACATTCAATGTTGTGGGTATGGCTGTCTGTCGGACAGAAGGAGCTCCATGGACGTCTTCTTCACCATTTGAAACCACAGAAAAAGATTCAGAGACAAAGAACCTTTCAACGGTGTGGGTTGAGCCATCTTCAAAGCAGCTCCTACAGTTCACCGGATATGTCCTTCAAATTGATTTTCAACGTCACAGTATAGAAAACAAGCGCTGCTCTTACATCACATTTGACGGGAAGTCAGGGGTTGCTACACAGCGTGAATCAAACTCCTTGAAGTATGAAGAAAACAATCCGAAACACTTCATTTCTTAAACAAGTCATTTGTGTGAAGATGAAACATGAAGGGCTGTGGGCATAATGTCCCTGACACAGGAAATGTTTATGTAAGTCGGTTTCTCCCATATACTGTAACTTCATAAAACACCACAAATGTAAGAGTGTATGGAAGCTTTCATGTACCCCCTTCATATACAGTAAGTGTGAATAATAATGTATTCAAAACCAGGACGCAGCCCATATCTGTAGAGCTAGAGTGCATTTACCTATGAACAAATGTAACACTTAAATAACAATGCATACATTCATTAATAAAACATGTCATTATGTGTAGAATTCCAATTCAGAATCATTATTTCAATGGACCTCTGTTCAGGATACTTTCAGCACCACACCTTTAGGTCCTTAAACACATTGACTTCTCTGTCACTGACACACAAAATAAAACATCAGTAATGAACCAACTTTGCATTTAAATAAACACAAGGAAGTGTGACTGTGCAGTAGGATGTTTTAAATTGGTCCAGTATTAAGAGAGATGCTGCACTGTGATCCTATTGGTCCACTGAAAGCACTTGTTTGTGTAAGGTAGCGCTCTCTCTCTCTCAATACTAGACCAATTTCAGAAAGGTTTTTTTCCGCATCAGTCACTTGGACCCTAAAACGTATGAAAATAGGGAACAGGTGGAAAAAGACCTAAGTGTGCCTTTAACTAATTAATGAGTGCAATGCATTACATAGAAAGCCTGAAAAACCGAAACAACTGAAAGCTAAAATAATCAGAAAACCATCAAAAAAAAGTCAGGTGTGAGTAACATTCATACTCACACAACAAAAGTGTTGTTTTACAATAATTGGATGGACTGATTTATAGCAAGTTAGCAATGCTTCATAACGTCTTTAATGAATGAAAGTGTGCATGTCGGGCATTAGGAACACAGTGCTGCCTTTGCTCTCCTGCAGGCCTCAGAACTTATGTTGGCCCCCGGACACTGCGCTGTAGCTGCTCATAGACACTCAGGACGGCACGACAAAGGGGACATACGTCTCACAAAGTATTACAATGTAAAACTTATTTTATGTAATTTTTGCAATAAGCAAGTGCACTCGGTGTTGCCAAAGTAAAGACCTTCAGAAATGATCTGCTACTCCTTTCCGAGAGGAATCCATTTAAACATAGTGTTAGCGAACATACTCCATAGATTTCCATTATTGGTTACTGCACCTTCAGTAATTTGTGAATTCCTTCACAGCCACCATGTCTGACGGTAGGACTAACAAAAAGACAGGGATGAGGCGGTGGTTTTACAACCCACATATACAGTGTATACACATACATAACTGTCCCAGTCACCCCAGTAGGAAAGCTCCCCATTATCTTCTTGCCCATGTGACCTGTTGGAGCCAGTAGGTCGGAGCAGATACAAAAACAAAACGCGTTACATTAGAGACCAGCTCTCACAGAAATGCTCCTTAGGAAAAGTTAAGAAATAAGGAAAATACAACTCAGTATCTCCTCCACATGGACACATGTTTTAGTGCAGGTGGACGCAGGTCTGCTCAGCACTGCAGTCCAGCCCTGACCAATCAGCAGTGACTCCTACAGGACTCTTTTTACCTGATGTCTACAGACTCCTCCTGTACGATGACATCACTTGGGGGGGGAGGGCCAGATGGGGAAAGCGTGGGCCTCCGTGTTAAAGACATACTTGTCCAGATTGAGCAGCTCCATGTCGTCAGAGAAGAGTAGATAGAAGTACTTCAGGGTCTCTCCCAGGAAGAAGCTCTCCATCTTGTCTCGGGGCGCGGGGTTCTCGATGTCACGTACGTTGTTGATGGACGTGTAGCCACCACCGGGGACCTGGAGACCAGGAAGTGATGGTTTAGGGAGATAATGCATACAAACTATTATATCGCAGTAAAAGGCTGTATCAAAAGAGATGATCACCAGAGTTGTGATGTAATTAAAAACAGCAATAACCAAATGCTTTTTTAAGTGTGCCATTTTTACCCCCTGTTGTGAATTCAATTGTGTAAATACAGTTAAAAAAACATTACAAAACATGAACTTCCTTCAATTTGTTGCACTGCAAACAAAGTAAACAAGAGTTCTACACATCACAGAGCTGTAGCTGGCTCAGATATTCAATAACTGGTCTGTGGTCAGATGGTTTGTACCTTAGTGTGGTTGTTGAAGCTTTCCAGTATGTCCCATCCCCAGTCTCTGTACTTGGTGTCCTTGGTGAACCTGTACATGTAGAACAGACTCTCCACTGTTTCTGGTCTCAGCAGGTTGTGTCTGTCTGCAGGCTGGAGGACGAGGACAATGTGTTGGTAAAACACACCACTGTTTCTATTGTAATATGTCATATACATTGTTATATATTGTAGTACAATGTGCAGATTTTTACTCTCATTTCAAATCTTTATAGAAGGGTTAGGAATGAACAAGGAGTGGATATATCTTTGTTACAGTAACACATATTGCTATGCTTTCTTGAGGGTAAACATAGAAGACATTAGATTAGCCAGCACAAAGAATAAAAAAATAGAACTATTAAATAAAACATCCGGGGGCTAGATGTGATTTTACCAACTCCAAAACAGACACTAGAAAGAGATTCCTTATCCTAGATTTGAGTAGAAACACTGCAGATTTGTCAACTGATGTTTCAAGTAAATAAAACTGAACACATAGAAAAACAATAAATAATGAATGAGCAGCCAATCAGACCGGCCCGGAGTCTCTGGAGAGACATCTATCTTCGTTTTAATGGATGACCTGTCCTTACTGTGCTTTTACTGAGGATTGAGTATTCTTATTTTTCTCTTATTTTGTGTTACCTTACCGTGACGTGAATAAAAAAGTCTATAATCAACTCTAAATGTAAATCATCTGTGCACTGAAAACCAAACACTCAAAGATATGCTTTCATGGGGCAGAAGAATGTGTTTGGTGTTTAAAATGACGGAATAGTAATAAAATCTACATAATATGATATTCATTTACTAAGTTTTGAATCCGAGAGTTTCTAAAAATGCGTCCTACTTATATGTGAGGTTAATGAAGGCAGCAGAGGAGAAAAGTACAATAATAATAAATGCTTTGATAAAACTGGAGCAGTAATGAACAAGAAAATGAGCACGGACGACATTTTGAAAGGTTATAATCACAGCTCCCAGGACACATTCATATTCCCTCTGACTCCTTTTAGCTACTGTAGTTTAAGCAGAGCATCAATGTAGAGACACTTACAAAAAGGCATTGCTCTAAAAGCATGTTCATTTGAATGTAAAATGAGTTTCCCCATTAATGGTCCTCTGTTTTTATGTCCCTGTGCTTCACCTTGACGAAGATATCCTGGCCATCGGAGGCCTGCAGGTTGAAGTGAGCGATCTCTGGACTCAGCCCCGTCTCCATCTGTTTGTACATCTGATGACACGTCTCCATCAGCTGCACAGCCAGGTCCATGTGGTCCCCCGGGAGCCCGTTGTGGGCCCCCAGTGCTAAGGTGCCTGGCAGGAAGCACACGAGGTGGTCCTGCAGTGACAAGATAAAGGGGTCCATCAGGAAGGTACAGGATATTGAGGGATAGAATTGATTTATGTGGAGAGAAAGACTGACTGCACATGAGTTTGTACAGATAAAGATTCGACTACAGCACAAAGGCTGATTGAACAAGGCGGTGAATGTCTGATGCGAGTTCATTGACTTTCGACAGTATGAAAATTACCCTATGACAATCCTTGAGCTGCTCGTGGTACATCCAGAAGGGTTAGGGTTACTGTAAGTTGATTTTTTTGCCACAGTAGCTCACCTGGTAATTTTCTCTCTCTCATTTTCATGTCTATTAACCTCAAAGTCAACTGTATTGTCAATCTTTCAGTTTGTGTGTACAGAGAGATCAAAATACCGTTTCCAACAAACCTGAATAAAACCCGTCTATCTAATAAAAGAAAAGCCAAAAAAAACACCCCAGAAACACCAACTAACTTCGCGATGAAGGCATTGGAAGACCAGCTTCTCCCATGTTTTACAGCAGTACATTGCTTAGCTTCCTTGCTTGTACTCCTGCTGGTCCAAACTGTAGGTTTGTGGAAAAGTGTCTTAAAAGTCCTAACTGTACCTTTAAGGGCTTGTATGTGTCGCAAACTGACTGAGAGTATCTTTACCATTTTAGGGTTGAAGCGGGTATGGGACAACTCTCCAACAAAAGTCAGTCTGCCGGACCCCGTCTGTCTCACCAGGTGTTTCTTCACTCCCTCCACGGCCTGAAGGTAGTCCTCCAGCAGGCTGGGAAAGACAACAGGGAATGTGAGAGATGTTCATTTTAGTCAGTATTATATGAGACATGGTCAGTAGTCATTTAATTTGGGAGTTTTCAAAATATACTTAAGTTAGTATCTTAAAAAGAAGAATATATTTTTAACATATATAACAATGCAGGAGAGAGAAAAAAACTACATAAAAAAGGCTACAGCAAATCCCATCAGTATGCACAACATCAGTGTTTCCCACAGATCTGAAATATACTTGTGGCGGGGGGGGGGGGGGGGGGGGGGGGGGGGGGGGGGGGGGGGGGGGGGGGGGGGCGTGGCTTTGTGACGTGCAAAAGTATTAGTTTTCTTTTTGTATTACTTTTAATATAGTATATTTTAATATTATTTTAATATTGTCTGCTTATCTGTATTATTGTGTTGCATTGTTGGAGAAGCCTGTGACCTAAGATTTTCATCGACATAACCTTGAACATTAACATGAACCTTTCTGTTGGTCGCTTGTTTGCAGACCATTCACGCGATAGGTACAGGAGGCGTAGAGCGAGGGATCATTGTCCACTAGTTAAACGATCGCAGATGGCGTCGTGCTCGCGGACGGATACAAAAAAAACAACTAAAATGGGTCGCGAAATATACTTTGGCGGCCGTTAATATACCTGGCCGGCCCGCCCAAGTAAAGTCTATGTGTGGGAAACCCTGCAACATACAGTACATTCTAACTATTTACAGTCCTCTGAAATGTCAGGTTATGTTGACCTCTGTTATTCCGTCATAAAATGCAGTGTTTTCTCACAATCACACATGTTCTCAGAAATGTGAAAAAGATGCATTTACTCGTCTTCCGTCTTGCCTCCCTGGATCCACTGTTTGAGCAGGTATTCATAGTAGCTGTCTGCCCTGGCCCCCAGAGTGAAGACCCCTTTGTGGGTGAACTGGCCGCTGTTGGTGTTGATGAACATGGGAACCAGGCCGTCGTGTTTGCCTGGCAGCTTGTGGACCAGCTTCATCACCTCATTCACAACCTCCTGCAAGGGGTGAAAGACATAATGAGGAAACAGTCCTCATTTAACTAACTGCTGGAGTGTGAGCCAATGCATCTACAATGACAGTTTTAAGCCATTTTTCATTGGGACATTTTAAGCAATTTCCCAATTCGATAGAGCTGAATTTGATGAGGCTCATCAGAAGTGATGGCTGGCTATGGTAATGCCAGAAAATACACAAATGAATATCAGATTGAGACTAAAATCTTCGGGGGTTAGCTCTGGTTTCTGAAATAACTCATGAACTCAAATGTTTGCAAGCTATACTTAATATCTGAACTGAAACCCTCTGTCAAATATCTTTATAAACTGCCCCAATCTTTGTTTCACTCAATTATTCTGACCTGGTACTGGGGGTCCTGTGTGAGGCGGCTCAGCTCTCTGAACTCCAGCTGAATGCTGGTGACCTCGGCCAGCGTGCTGTCTGACGTCCATCGGGGGGGGTGGGGCTGTCCCCTTCCCGATGTTCACGTCTGAGAACGGGATCTTTGAAGGAGTTTTGAAGGCAGGCATCAATCTCGCCCCGATGTCTTTCTTTAAAATGGAGAGAAGAAACAGAAATAGATTAGAAATTACATTTTCTGTGTTGTATGAGTTAACCACCTTTATTTTGAAAATGCTACAGCTTTACACAACATTCACACATCAGTAAATCTGACGTCTTCTTAAATTGCAACTGAATTGAGCGGGAGGTGGCGTAGTGAACCTACAAAGCAGTTTCAACGATGCTACGTGGGCAGCATGTTCATCAGTTTGAAACAAATGTCTTATAAAACAGCCCCAGACTACTGTTCAAAAAGCACTAGACAACAGAAGATGACTGTGGATGGACTCACAGCTTTGTCGAGGAAGAGCTGGTCTCCTGTCAGATTGTAGGTGCTCAGCAGGCCCCCGAGGACCCGGATGGTCGTCTCAAAAAGATTCACGTCCACGTTCTTGTCGAAGGAGAGCTCTTTCTCTACCCAGTCCCTCGCTTCTGCAAACTCTATGTGGAGTGAGTCAGAGAGGGAATCACAGAGAGAGGAAAACAACTATTACATTGGTCATAAAGTTAACACGGTGGATCAAAGATGTTCTACTAAAAGGTGTGCCAAAAGTGAGGTTTTCTAACACCAGCAAAAGCCTCCAAGCTAGGATTTGTCAGATACTTAAAAGGAAACATCAACGTTTGAATCCTTTAACATTGCCAGACTCATTTGGGATAGCAACGAAAAAAGAAGATTAAAAACGATGGTGCCTACTTTACCCACAATGCAACGTGTCTGCTAATGTGACTTTGAGCAGCTAGCCTCAAGCAGACATTATGAGCAGGCTTTTGAGATCTGGTAAGATCAGTTCCTTTTCAACAACACACCCCCATATTTTTTTACTTTAAAACTTGTCTTCAGCATCACTTCAAAAGAGTTCACTCATCTCCCTGTGAAGAGTCAACACTTTAACGTTTAATTTAAGTAGTACTCGCTAATATCTAAAAGAAATTCTTTGATGTGTTAAGTCCTTTTTACAGGACCAAATGCAAAGCTACAAAAAAATGAGAATGCTCTATATCAGTGATTCTCAAATGGGGGTACGCGGACCCCTGGGGGTACGTTGGGGTACTGCAGGGGGTACGTGAGATTTAAAAAAAAAAAAAGGTTAATTAAAAAAATACCATGCATGATTAAAAAAATAATCTTAGTACAATAAGTTAAATAGAAAACACAATTTTATATAAAATATTCCTAGAACCACCAAGGGGGTCCTCATATAAACGTCAAATGTGTGTATTGTATTTGATAGTTTTTCACAATATATCATTTTGTTCATTGGTTTGTTAAACATATTACTTCAATTGAAAAACTCCTTGGAAAATCTGTTTTATAAAAATGTTATGTTATGCTATTTTTTTCATGCATGAAGATGAAAATATCCTTAGTTTGTTGTAATGCATGCACGAAAGAGTTAATAAATCACGCACTGAGGGAACATCACTATATTGTAATTATTTATATAGGCTTTTTCGATCAAAAATGTTAGGGGTCGGTCAGGGGGTACTTGGCTGAGAAAATGTTTCAAAGGGGGTACATTACTGAAAAAAGTTGGAGAAGCACTGATCTATATCATATCTCCAGATCAGCATCCTACTTTGAATTGTATTGAAACATTTGGAATGACAGCCAGCCCTGAGGCAGAGGGAAGAACTGACATACAGTACCTTCTCTGAGGCCCAGAATCCACATGGTGTCCAAAGAATCGATGATTGTCAAACCCAGTCCAAACCACTCCCCAAAAGTCCTGGAGATGGGCTTGAGCTCATCGTGACCCCAGGCGTAGTCCTTGTAGCCTTTCCAAGCGTGCCTGAAGGCATCACGTACTGCCTCCAGTCTGGCCTCAGTTCTGCCTGAAACTACAAACAAAAGGTCCAAATAAGAATGAATAAGAAATTAAAGTGTCTTTTTTAAAGTATGTGTTATCTCTCTCAACAGAGCCATTCTCATTATCTGATTATTTTCACTGGAAGGAATATTGTGTGCATTGATGCTGAGCAAAGCAACATGATAGAAATCATTACACTTTTAAAAGGTGCTGGGCTTTAGACAGCATATAATAGTAGACTCTATTTGTAGTGTTTGAGCAGACTGATGATTAGCTGTCTGGCACCCAAACAACTAAAGGCTGCACTGACAGACTTAGTTAGATAAAGAGCTTAGTTAGTTAGTTAGAATTTCCAAAATGTGCACTGACCATCCAATGGGAGAGGGTCTGCAGAGTCGGCTGGGGCTGGGGGTGCTGCAGCTTCTTTCCCATTTGCCGAGGGCGGGGGCTCTGTGGCCTGGTCTGCTTGAATCACTGCTCCTCTCCAGCTGTAAGACCAAAGAAAAAACACTTAAAGGTGGGGTAGGTCATTTTGGAGAAACCAGCTCAAGTGCGCTAGAATTTTAAAATACACAACCGGAAAAAATCTGCCACTTCCTTACAGAGCCCCTCCTCCAACACACACGAACGTGCACATGACCAATGAGGGCACGAGATAAGTTTGTGCACAGATGGAAGGCTGACAGGCAGGTAGGCCATCCAGTTACTTTAGCCGGGGCGGCTAAAATGATTGGTCGTGCTTTTTACAGCGGCACAGCTTCCACAGATGAACTTTTTTAATGGATTTTTTGTCAAAGCACTTTAGATATTCATTGCTATCGGGATGTTAAGAGCATTCCATGGAATATAACAAAAACTGTATCTCGAGCCGGTTTCTCAAACTTACCTACCCCACCTTTAACTAAGCCGGTCTCCTTTAACTGCTTCTCTCATGTACTGCAATCAGGAAATATGAGGAGCAACATCATATCTGAACAGTTGCAAACCTTCTGTACAGTTGGGGACGAACAACAAACCTGACAATCTTCTTCTCTTTGTCCTCCTCTCCTCCTTCTTCTTCTTTAACCACCTCCTGCACTTGCTTTTTCTCAACGACTGTGTCTGAAATGTTTCCATCTTTACGCATGCCTGGTGGACCTCTTTTGTTTGGGAAGGACTTATTTTGAGGACAAATAAGCAAGTATATGGTCAACATAAAGCAAGGTATTATTGGTAATTGTACAAGTCAGAACTAAATTAAAGAAAATATATCAAGTATGAAGTACAGCTGTTTCAATTCGTTTTGTAAGCATGTTTTAGACATTAGCATGTTCACTGATGTTCCTTATTGATGTAAAAGAAAAACACAAATACAAAAATAAACTCTTACCTTAATGGGAGGTTTAGGAAAAATAGGTATGTTTGGTCCTTTGGGCTCCACCACAGCAGGATCTGGACCCACAGCTGGCCCCACATGTGGCCCTGCTGCAGGAGGCGGGACTTTAGCTGCAGGTAGATCCAATACAGACAGCACATCTGGAAGATCATCCTTCACCTCTCTGTCGTTTAGCTCCAGCCACTCGTCCCTGTCAGAAAAAGCTGAAGGCACGAAATGAACAAGGGAAAGAATACGGTCAAACTCATCCCGTTTGTTATTTTGTTGATCCATTTGAGTCGATCTCAAATATGATCTTGTTTCTTTCTACCAAGCCTTGTCATGTTCATGTTGACTGCATTTAAAAGATTGCAAAAAATAAAAAGAGAATAAAGAGATTTTGGTTTAGTTGTTATCGGCACTAATCACAGTACACAGACAATCCAACTCATGAGCTGCAACAAGTCATGCAGCACTACCGTTACATTGTCCTCCTGTGTGTGTGTGTGTGTGTGTGTGTGTGTGTGTGTGTGTGTTTCTGCCTGTTTTGCCTGGATCTGTGTCATCTGTCCATCCGCAGCAGCTCAGCTAAATGTGATTCCACGTCAGATTCAATAATCACAAACACAGTGGAGCAATTTTTAGATATGGATCAATGTGGTAATGTGAAGGGAGGCAGATCACAAGTGAATGGACAACTAAAGAGGATGCTACCAGAGTCTTGATGTTTAAATGTCATGATGATTTCATTACTTTAATTACTTCCCCTGAAGGTGGTTTGAAGACAAAACAAAAGGCTTACAGTATGTTCTTCACTTATGTTCAATGTCTCTGGTTCTCTTCAAAGCATGTCTACCTTCTTCTTTACATGCTATAAAAGATTCCCAACAGAAGGGTGTGTGAGTTTAGTGTTGTGCAGGCAGGCATAGTTTACCTTTCCACTCCGGTGGGATGCTTGGATAGGAGAGCAGTCCAAATATGAGTATCAGAGCCAGCAGCAACAGGATGAGGCTCCGCTGCAGCCGAGACAGCTGCTTCCATTTCTGTAGGCAGAACAAAAACGTGTCAAACAGCTCTGAATTCAAACTGCAAGCATCTGTCAGAAGATTATAGCATCCTCCCCCTCTTCAATAGCTTCAAAGTCTGTATCTAATTCCTGGAAAAGAAAAGCATGATGGCCTCTTCTGGTCAGGTTTACCCTGTAACAACTCAACATCTCTCCTTCCTGTGATGCATGAAGCCAAGTGACGGATCGCAAATAAAATGTAGGTATCGAGCTCAACCCAGCAGAGTGGAGGGAGGGACAGAGTCTCTCGGGGGGGAAGCTAACAGGCAGGTACGCTGGGTTACCTGCGCCTAATTAACACCTGTGCAACACCATGAAACTATTGAGCCAGCGTCTGTGAGCTGAACACACAACAGACTTCATCTCAGGGGACGTTCACTCTAACTTCGCTACAGCTCATTCATCACAACAGCATCAACGCAGTCAGTGAAGACCGATGGTGCATTTAAAAAAAATCATATGTGGGAAACATGATTGGTATTCTGCATCAACACAACTCTTCATCCGTCTTTTCCCCTAAATGCCAACTGCTTATGGGAATAGGGTCCTAGTACGTTTTATCAGTTTGATTTTTCGTTTGAACCAAAAAAACAAAAATACCAGCTTTTTTTCGTTTTCAATCAAAAACGAAAAAAGGCTGGTATTTTCGTTTTTTGGTTTTAAACGAAAAATCAAACTGACAAAACGTGATATGATTCCATTTAAATTAGACGTAATGATGATATTTGGAACCCGAACTAGGACTTTTTATTTGGTCTGTAGAATACAATCAATGACAGCTTCCTCCTCACTTGCTTATCTCTGAAAATGTTGAAGATGTGAATAGTGTTAAAGCAGGTGGAGAAGAGCGTTTTTTCTGCCGAGGACACAGAGCCAACGAGCCACTCTACGGAACATGATTTGCAGAGAATGGTTTTCTGAGGAACCATAAACCGTGATCAAATGTGACGCTCCGCAGGTGCAAGGTACTGCTGAGCCGCTCAACTCCACGTCTCTACTATAAAGCTGCTTTTATAGAGGATCTGTCTGTTGATATACTGCTGAGATAAAAACGTTACACATGAGTTGATGAGTAAAGCTCTCCCTTTTCATTTCAGAGGACTACATGAATTCCCTTTATGAGAGCTGACCGGAGCTGACCGTGCAGTTTAGCTGATTACAAAAGTATGTCTGCTGTTACGTTCCCTCTTGGCTAGGGGTACAAACGGGAAACGACACGACCAGATTTGGGTATTTGTTACCGGTGGCTTTATTCGTAAAGGCAACTGAGCAAAACGTTGTACACAAACAGCTTGGCCCAACAACGGGTCAAGCTGTCACTATGTCAAAAAAAAGGGTCTCCAAAAGAGAGTAGCCCAGTACCATACAAAGGAAAGGAAATACCTCACTTCTAAAGTGGAAACAAACAATAAACAACACGAGGCTGGGTGGAAACACAGCTGTTGCTGATCAACAGGTGCTAATCACCTGGGTCTAAGCGATATACACACCAATGCTGATCTACAGGCGCTAATCACCTGGGTCTAAGCGATATACACACCAATGCTGATCTACAGGCGCTAATCACCGGGGTCTAAGCGATATACACACCAATGCTGATCTACAGGCGCTAATCACCGGGGTCTAAGCGATATACACACCAATGCTGATCTACAGGCGCTAATCACCTGGGTCTAAGCGATATACACACCAATGCTGATCTACAGGCGCTAATCACCTGGGTCTAAGCGATATACACAACAATGCTGATCAACAGGCGCTAATCACCGGGGTCTAAGCGATATACACACCAATGCTGATCTACAGGCGCTAATCACCTGGGTCTAAGCGATATACACACCAATGCTGATCTACAGGCGCTAATCACCGGGGTCTAAGCAATATACACACCAATGCTGATCTACAGGCGCTAATCACCGGGGTCTAAGCGATATACACACCAATGCTGATCTACAGGCGCTAATCACCTGGGTCTAAGCGATATACACACCAATGCTGATCTACAGGCGCTAATCACTGGGGTCTAAGCGATATACACACCAATGCTGATCTACAGGCGCTAATCACCTGGGTCTAAGCAATATACACACCAATGCTGATCTACAGGCGCTAATCGCCGGGGTCTAAGCGATATACACACCAATGCTGATCTACAGGCGCTAATCACCGGGGTCCTAAGCGATATACACACCAATGCTGATCTACAGGCGCTAATCACCGGGGTCTAAGCGATATACACACCAATGCTGATCTACAGGCGCTAATCACCTGGGTCTAAGCGATATACACACCAATGCTGATCTACAGGCGCTAATCACCGGGGTCTAAGCGATATACACACCAATGCTGATCTACAGGCGCTAATCACCGGGGTCTAAGCGATATACACACCAATGCTGATCTACAGGTGCTAATCACCTGGGTCTAAGCGATATACACACCAATGCTGATCAACAGGCGCTAATCACCTGGGTCTAAGCAATATACGCACCAATGCTGATCTACAGGCGCTAATCACCTGGGTCTAAGCAATATACGCACCAATGCTGATCTACAGGCGCTAATCACCTGGGTCTAAGCAATATACGCACCAATGCTGATCTACAGGCGCTAATCACCTGGGTCTAAGCAATATACACACCAATGCTGATCTACAGGCGCTAATCACCTGGGTCTAAGCGATATACACACCAATGCTGATCTACAGGGGGTAATCACCTGGGTCTAAGCGATATACACACCAATGCTGATCTACAGGTGCTAATCACCGGGGTCTAAGCGATATACACACCAATGCTGATCTACAGGCGCTAATCACCTGGGTCTAAGCGATATACACACCAATGCTGATCTACAGGCGCTAATCACCTGGGTCTAAGTGATATACACACCAATGCTGATCAACAGGTGCTAATCACCGGGGTCTAAGCGATATACACACCAATGCTGATCTACAGGCGCTAATCACCTGGGTCTAAGCGATATACACACCAATGCTGATCTACAGGCGCTAATCACCGGGGTCTAAGCAATATACACACCAATGCTGATCAACAGGTGCTAATCACCTGGGTCTAAGCAATATACACACCAATGCTGATCTACAGGCGCTAATCACCGGGGTCTAAGCAATATACACACCAATGCTGATCTACAGGCGCTAATCACCTGGGTCTAAGCAATATACACACCAATGCTGATCTACAGGCGCTAATCACTGGGGTCTAAGCGATATACACACCAATGCTGATCTACAGGCGCTAATCACCTGGGTCTAAGCAATATACACACCAATGCTGATCTACAGGCGCTAATCACCGGGGTCTAAGCAATATACACACCAATGCTGATCTACAGGCGCTAATCACCTGGGTCTAAGTGATATACACACCAATGCTGATCAACAGGTGCTAATCACCGGGGTCTAAGCGATATACACACCAATGCTGATCTACAGGCGCTAATCACCGGGGTCTAAGCAATATACACACCAATGCTGATCAACAGGTGCTAATCACCTGGGTCTAAGCGATATACACACCAATGCTGATCTACAGGCGCTAATCACCGGGGTCTAAGCAATATACACACCAATGCTGATCAACAGGTGCTAATCACCTGGGTCTAAGCGATATACACACCAATGCTGATCTACAGGCGCTAATCACCGGGGTCTAAGCGATATACACACCAATGCTGATCTACAGGCGCTAATCACCTGGGTCTAAGCAATATACACACCAATGCTGATCTACAGGCGCTAATCACCGGGGTCTAAGCGATATACACACCAATGCTGATCTACAGGTGCTAATCACCGGGGTCTAAGCGATATACACACCAATGCTGATCTACAGGCGCTAATCACCCTGGGTCTAAGCGATATACACACCAATGCTGATCTACAGGCGCTAATCACCTGGGTCTAAGTGATATACACACCAATGCTGATCAACAGGTGCTAATCACCGGGGTCTAAGCGATATACACACCAATGCTGATCTACAGGCGCTAATCACCTGGGTCTAAGCGATATACACACCAATGCTGATCTACAGGCGCTAATCACCGGGGTCTAAGCAATATACACACCAATGCTGATCAACAGGTGCTAATCACCTGGGTCTAAGCAATATACACACCAATGCTGATCTACAGGCGCTAATCACCGGGGTCTAAGCAATATACACACCAATGCTGATCTACAGGCGCTAATCACCTGGGTCTAAGCAATATACACACCAATGCTGATCTACAGGCGCTAATCACTGGGGTCTAAGCGATATACACACCAATGCTGATCTACAGGCGCTAATCACCTGGGCCCAGGAGTTCAACACTTTTAATCCCTATCTGATCAAATCAGATTTGGATTTTGGGGAGTTCAAAACCAAAAAACAGGATTAGGATCACTTTGATATCCGATCAGATCAGGAAATCCAATCCAAGCTTTAATCTGGATCAAATCTTCAAAACGGGTAGTTCAAACCGACAACACAGGATTGGGATCAGTTTGATCCCAAAAAACTGGATTATCCTGATCCGACCAGAAGGGTGGATTTCCAGTGGATTACCAGAGCAAAATGTACTGTACCATTTATTTAAAAATATGTTTCAATATAAATAAGATGGCAAAGTTTGTTAACTGAAATAATACACCATTTTTAGCCTTCATGGGAAATACATTTTATTTTTCATTTTTTGGTCACGTTTGTGGTGGCCTATTTTGTTTTCAACCAAATGTTGACATAAATGTTTATGCTCATGAAAGTATCACAACAAAGATTGTCAATCACAAATGTAATTTAGATTAAAGAAAAAATATTTTCAACAACAAAAAAAGTCCATCATCTGTCATCACCTTTCAAAAGTAATTGCGGACAATAGATGTCTCTGCAATGTGGTCTCTTGTCTTCCTTGTATTATTTTTCATGTCCACTAGATGGCGCTCGGTAGGATTAAAGCACTGATATTCAG